TGATGATGATGATGATGATGATGATGATGATGATGATGATGATGATGTGTTGTTTGGTTCTGTTTGTGTCCAGTACTAGTATGTTTCCATATGTTGCAACATTGTTTTATACTGAAGGGAAGTGAGATAGGACTTGTGAAACGCTGGAGAAAAAATGAACTAGTCACCATGAAGAGCTTAAAATGCCACTCCTCGTCATCTCATCAGGTCAAAACATAAGAAGAACATCACTTGTCGATGCTTGCGGTTGCGTTCTCCGAACTCCATTGGAGTACCATCCCACTTAGTGATAGACGAGTTCTACTATAAAATGGTCTCAGTTTCAGAGATCGTCTTGACAAAGGTTTGCTTCGAGGTGAGATCATTCATGCACCTTCGAGTTTTCAGGAACCGTATGGCTTCAAACCTGATTTATCATAAAACTGTTTCAACTGACCTTGCAAAATGTGTCAACTCCAGGCGCAACATATGGTTTATATGATGAAGATTGTAGGTCACAAAAACACAACCAGTTCCAAGCAGCCGTCCAATTGGCTTCCATCTGCTGTCTTCCTCGATCGCTGCGTCCGGAGCGTCGTTCAAGGCCTCGGATGATCTGCCGCCACTTGGGGCGGTAAAGCGTTTCAGATGGGACTTGGGGCATCTTGGGGCTCAGTTTCAGATAGTAATTAGCTATCCCAGACAGAACCTGTCTGGGACTGCCAGTCCCAGACAGGTCGTGTCTGGGTATAATGGGGTCTGAACGCACCAGCCCCAAAAGATCGAGCACCTCGTGACCGAAGAAAGCCAGCGATGCGGCCACCTCGGCGGGGTGGCCATGACCCATGGCACCTGGATGGAACTCTCCTGACGGTCGTCCGTTCTGTTTATGTTCTGTGGCCAAGCCAGGTAGACATCTTGGCACACAGCCGGTACAGATTGGAACACACCTGGGACACCTGGTCAACAGAGCGGTCTTTCTTCTTTCCCCACAGCCGGCTATGGCACCAGGCCCAAGCCGGTTTCTTCTCCAGGTGACGCAAGGGAATGGGTGCAGTGGCGATCCAAACGATTCGGAGGGTGAGAACGACGCGTAACGCTGGGCGACGCGCCTGGGCCACGAAGGGGTTTTAACGCGACCAGATGTGAATTTTTAGGGATGATCACCCACTCTCAGGAAGTGCTTGGTGATGGAGTTCCTTGAATTCTAGGACAGAAACCCTCGGGTTTCTTCATGGAGCAGTTTCGAATCTTCAAGCCAAGTCCGGTGGTGTCAAGTGCTAAGTTCGGGCACATCGCAAGGCTCCGAAAGGCCTCGCTCCAGTCCACGATCTCCGGGCCGTTTCAGTCACTTCCACGGACGAGCGAACGGCGGTGCGAGCGACCGCGGCGGGTGCGACGAGGTCGGAGCTGTTTCCGGACGTGCACACCGTCGACTTGGATCTGCCGGGGTCCTCCTGTCCGGAGGGTGGTCGTCGGGAGAGGCACGCGAAGGCGAAGGGCGGTGGAGCAACAGACTCATGGGGGAAGCGGGCACGGGGCTGTTTTGGCCCTGAAAGGGGGTGAACCAAAAACTCGAAGACAGAGCCCAACCGCACGCAATCGCCTGGTCGTTTCATGGAACAACCCTGTTAACTACTGTTGGAAATGTTCGACACATTGCAACACGCTATAATTAGGTGGTGTTGGTTAGTTTCAAAGCGTTTGATCTCTTTTTGATCCACTTGGGCTTTTAGCCCATCCGAAGAAGACTTGAGCTCTCCTCACCGAGTTTCTTCCCACCGGCCTGTCCTCTTCGCCTTGTCCGCTCCTTTCCCTCCGTCCGTCGGCACGGAGACACGCGGCACGTCCGCCACGGGGGGTCTCCCCGCGGTCGACGCCCAGGGAGAACGAGTTGGACCTCTTTGGTGCGGTCCCTGGAGCCACCGAAGGTCCCGGTCGCGTCGGAACGACGTCGAACGGCACCAACCGAGCGAAGCTGTCTGACGCGCGAGGCGAGAAGGTGCGGTTGGGGGATCGAGGACGTCGGGTGGAAGAAACCGGGTGAGGATCGATGGGGGTGAATGAAGCGTTTCATTGGGACATGGGACATCCTGGGGAGGGGGGACACCTGGGGAGTGGCCTGGGGAGTGGCCTGTGTTGTTGGTTCAACAGGAGATTGATGTAGATGTCCGTAGATGTCAAGGTTTGTGATGGCCAATCACTTTCTCTCTGTGGAAAGAGGGTGCTCCTTCTGCCTCCTCAATGTGACTCAATGGAGTCGATTTCAGTGGAAAGCTTGAACCAAAACCATCCGGTGTTCCATACAGCTCGGAGGACAGTTGAGCATCTCAAATGTACATTCAAGCAGGCTCTTCAGTCGGAGACCCTTCTCCACAGGATTCCAAAAGGGTTCAACTTGGCTTCAGAACGCTCCACTCGGCTTCACGGATTCGCTTCCAAAAGGGTTCAACATGGTGAAAACCACACCTGGAGCGTGATGCCACCGACATCGAATCCCTAAAGTCTGCCCTGTTTCTCATCATCGATGCTACATGCTATGTCGATGAAGACCTGACAATGAAAACCAAATCGATGCTGAAGTACGGGTGGTAGGGAAAAGGTCGTTTTGCCATAAAGCTTGCCCGTGGGAAAATCACAACCCTGTTGCCTCAGGTGGCCGTTGAAAAGGGTGTTGGTGTATACGTGATGACGTTCTGCATGTCCACTTTTGTAGATGACATTAACGTTAACGATCATCCATGGGTCTGTATTCAGGATCTGCTTCCGGCGTCGCAGAACACCGATGCAGTCCGTTCCTGAGGCGATCCCCTGGAGCTCACCGTCCGTCTGTGACGAAGCGAGCGACCGCGTCGCGGACCTGCGACGAGCGACGGACCCTGACGGCACCGAAGTGGTCGGATTCCGGGAATCGCCCAAAACGACCGGTTCAACCCCTGAGAACCGAAGAGAGCTGGACTCCCGTTGTGGTGTGGAGTCCAATCTAAGAAGTCGATGGAAGTAGCCCTTCAAGCTGAAGCAGCCAGGCTGCAACTGGCAGCTTTCTTCATACTTAGACCGTAGTAGCGATCCCTCAAAAGCGGCGGTTGGACAGAGTGTACAGGGGCTCCTCGCAGCGGTGCATGACTCAAGTTCTTCTTGTGCATCAACTTTGACCCGCCAGCGTTTGGGCTTCCAACCAGCGACGATGATGGATGCCGGTGACGGTTTTGGGCACTCCTCCCGTCCCCTCTCCAACCTCTCAGGGCAAGCAAGTCATCTTTCGGATAGTCAGATAACATATCCAGCTCGATGCGTTTCAAGAGTCCTCACAAGATGGGCTTGTACAAAAATGGGGTTGATCTGCAGCTGCCGTTGCAGCTGCCTTCATTTTTTGCTTGTCAATGTATTTACAACTCTGGGTAGGCTTGCAATGGGTTGGTCTTAACGTGAGGGAGTAATTTGTTGAAGCTGTTTATTTCATGTTTTTCTTGCAGTGCAGCAGAAACCGTTCTTGCATTAATGACATAGACAGGTGAGCTTTGTAGAATACCTGTTGATGATACATCATTGAAAGTACAATTATAGTGAATTGTTTTGAAGCTCCAATACACAGCAACCAAGCTTTGGTATAGATCAACCCCATGCGAAATGATTTATTTTTTGTTGTCTTTTCTGGCGAAGGCTTTGGCGGAGGGGTTTGGTGACGTCAGTGTCAAGAATTTGGTCCTGCCAGAAACGCCACAATTCTCTTGATGTACATCTTCATGTACAGTATTAGGTATTAGTTCCCTGCCAGCTTGCCCCAAGAAGCAAAACCAACCCTACTCTTCGAGTTGATACAGAGAAAAGCAATCAACAATGCGCGCTTTTTTCGGCGCCAGAGGCTGTAGCCGCCCTTCCTCGAGCATTCAACAAGATGCTCTACCACAAGAACACACAAATTCCATGGCCAAACGAAGGAACCCAAGTGAGTCAAGTGTTCCTCAACATCACCTCCTAAGAGCAGATCATGAACACGCTTTTCTCGCGGCTCGAGCATTCAAAAGGGTTGCCACAAGGCCCACTACCCCAGGTAGACAAGACGAAGGCACGTTCTTGTTTGCAAGACATGTGCTTCTCAAAAACGCAATTCACGCAATGTTTGTGACTTCTTGCGGTCCTGTCTTGTTGGCTAGCGGAGATATGCCCTTGCTCTCATGGAACAAGCACTCGATTTCAGTGGGGGATGTAGCAACAGCAGTGAAATGCAAAATCCCAGGTGCCCAAAGCCCCGCCAAAGTGTCGTGCAAGCCACGTCGCCACTTCAGTTTTGAGTACGGCTTTGTTGCTAGGCTGCGGTGTGTTTGCTGCTGGCAGAAATGTTTGAAGGGATTGTTGACCGCAATGACTGATGGATCCTCAACCCGAATAAAACCCTCAATCCAAGAATCGAGCTGCGAGTAAAACATCTCAAAAAATCGGAAGGGCCCTTCCCACAGCGATTTGAGTCCATGTTATCTTCTTTCACCGGGGTCTTTCTGAGGCACTCATGTCTAATGTAGATTCCTGCTCATTTCTTTTAGAAGAAGAAGAAGAAGGGTGTTATCAATGGACAGGTGTTATCATTCATTCAACCATCCACAAAAACACTTCTTGCCCTAAAAACACTTCATCAACACTTCCGCGGGAACACCCCGGGCCCCAACCCATCCTTCCAATGTACGACGTGCTGGGCCGATCTTTAGAGCACTCTGGACCGACCGTTCATGGCATTCCCCCCACCCCACCGAAAAAGGACAAACACTCGTTCGCCGCGCCCCCCGTACGTACCAGATCGCTGTGACCAGCATCCTCGACATCCAAAAAAATATTGCTTCTCATTGATGAACGGAGATATGAGAAGATCCCTGAAGACTTCCCCTTGGCCCCTATGTTTGGGGGGGAAGTCTGGTTAACAATCTCCCGAAGCTTGTTTGGGCCTGTTCGTGAAGCGCGTTGCAGATCCAGCAAAAGCGCGTAACACGACACTGTGGGCGACCGTTCGCTGTGGGAGTGTCCCATTGGTACCGGCTTCGACACCCTTCTTGAAGGAACGCACGGACACCGAACCCCCAAACCATGGCAAACATTTGCAGGTCGAACAGAACATCCGCAAGCCATTCCTTTCCGCTTTTCTTCCCAATACGTGCTTAATTTATGAATGTATGTATATGTGTGGTGCGGCTGCGGCGCAACGCGCGCGGTCCACGTGGGTCAGGTGAGTCGGGTGAAGACCGGCTGGGTGGGGTTCGGTTCGGTTGAAAACAGCGCTGCTCCTCGAGCTCTCGGGGCCATGGGTGACTCACTCCAGGCGAAAGAGATGTGGTCGAATCACTCCATGAGGGCGTTTTGAGAAGAAAGGGAAACAATAAGCTACTAGGAACAAGTGCATCGCTACTAGTAACAAGTGCCTTACTACTAGTAACAATGTTTGCTATTAGAAACAAGTGCCACGCTAGTATAATAACAAGGATTCGCGAATGTAGAAACAAGATTCGCTCGTTATACGGAGGGCGTTTGGAGAAAGGACCGGTGACGAGGAACGGACCGGAAGACCGTGGACCGCGTGACGAGGAACGGGTGCGGCACCGGAGCTGAGGAGGTCTGACGAGGCCAACAGGCCACACGGTTCCGACAGGTAGACTGTTGGCCAAAGCCTCTCTATATTTGGAGATGGTTCATGAATTAACCAGCTACCTACTTAATACTTAATGATATTTCAAGGTAGGTGTCGCTTTCAACCTTTTATCATCCTTTGCCCCCTCTTCGCTATGAATCTCCGCTCTTCGGGAAAGGATTCAAAGTGGACCTGCACAACCGGAGACGCCCCACTTGAGGGACACCCAAACCAGTTGATATCCCTTGGACACCCCACTAAACCACCATGTTCCAGATGGACAGTTCGGTCCAACTCAAAACCCACCCATGTTCGGCTCCACGTCGTTTTTTCGGCTCCACCGGGGGTCAGCGAGTCTAACATGACTGATCCACTGGGAACCTCTTGGCCAACCGACGTAGCCTCCACCGGGGTCCAGGGTCCACAGCGACGCACAGGCGAAGCCAACGCGGGGCGGCGCCATCTTGGGAGGCGAGTGATGGATCAAATCGGGTGGTGTGGTTTTGGGGGTCGCGAAAACGAGGTTGGACTTGCTGCATGGGTGCCATGCCTGGGTCATCCGACTCTACAAGCATCCGACTCCAACAGGTCTCCGTTGCATAGGAGGGTTGGGAAGGGCCCCAACAGGTCGAAGCATTGGTGACCTGTTGGAGGATGCTGGTATAATACATACATTAATACCTACAACATCGTAGTGCTTCATTTTTTTCGTCTTTTGGAGCATAACTGCTTTTGGGCAGTGCGAACGTTTTTTTCCGTCCTCGAGCGTTTCCTTGATTTTTGCATTCTTGGCAATCTCATTGATCCCAAGAAGTCCCCACTTGGACTTTTCAACCCGCATCAAGCACACGTTCCACTGGGTGAACCGTCATTGGCATCGCATGTTTCCATAACATACTCCAATCATGCATGTCAACATTGAAACGATTTATGGATGCCACGGATGCCATGTCTTTGGCCATCACCATGGGCGTCGCGATGATCACCTGGCCACGTGCGCCCGTCAGCTCGAGCGATCAAAGCGGAAGTAAACGTTTGTATAAAAGAGTCGTGGGCTTGTTATGCCAATCTTGTTTCAGTGAGAACCTGACTCACTAGCATTTCGGCTTGTGCACCATCAGCTCTTAGTCTTCCGAGCTCTTCTGTTTCAACCATGGACCCGGCACCACCACCCGAACAGGGCCCGCCTTCAGCTCCGAACGTGTGGAGTGATCCGCGCCTGGCCAAGGGCACATTGGCCAAGCTTTGGGAAAGTGAGTCATCCTTGAGGGCACGAATGATGGATCAGGACTTCCCCTACTTGACTCGCTGGGTCACAAACCCGAAGACCAAGAATGTGGCAATAGGAATCCCATCGGTGAAAGCCATGGGATTGAACGTCACCGCCTTGGAAAAGCTTGCGGAGTGGTACTGCCCGGTGCAACCCATCGCAAAATGCGTCAACATCAACGTGATGAGGAGGGAGGTGGGGTGGTTGAAACACTCATGTTCACAAGATGTTGTGATTCAGACGGAGCCCATCCACCACCATGTTTCAACCAAACACCCCCCATTTAGGTGGCATTCTTCAGGGAGCTTACCGGCAAGACCGAAAACCAAGTGGCCTGTCACATGGATGCAAGCGGAATGAAGAAGCTCTTTTCCCATGGCATCAGGAGATTTCTTGCCAGAACCAGCACAAAGGAGACTTGACTTGCTTTATCCTTAAACAATTTTCCTTTCTAATTCTGGGGAACCTTACTTCGCTTATTTTCATTGAGGGTCACCGCTCCAAAACCGTGATTAAGGACCCAAATCTGGAGAACTTTTTCGCCATCCTCGAGCGTCACTGGGCTGAGTCTGGACCCATTGCCAACGATGGCTATGACGATGCGTGTGATTCTGACCCGGACGATGAGGACACTGACCCAGTGGTACCCGAAAGCACAAGTTCGGCCCCAGCTCTTCCAGCGCTACCCGAAGACAGGGTTCCAGTGGTGGAGCCAGCCCATCGATCGGATGCAAAATTGGAGATGCCAGAAACTCTTCCCTCGAAACTTTTGGGGGCGGAAAGCCATTGGCCAACTGACCCTGAAGAACTTCGGGCTTGCATCAGAGCACGTGCTGAAGCCCTAAGGTCCCTTACCTGGTTTTGATCCTTTTTTGTGTATGAACAAACCAGCTATAACCAACCTTGAATAAGACCCACAGTAGCGTATCACGTCGCCGCAACAGACTGCCTGCCGCAACAAAGGCATTGTCTTGAAGCTGCTCCTGAAGTGCCAGATCAACCTCGGCAGGCAAAAGAAAACGCTGGCCCATGCACCATGGATGCAGAACGTTGCAGGGTTGGCGGAAGGACCCTTGAATCCTTTTGATCTTTGAAGCCTAGCAAAGAGTTTTTGTTGCCTACCATCCACGCCACGGTGGTCAGGTATGGATATGGTGGACACTGTGCCCATGGATACCCAAGATATGACCGCAGCTGAGAGTGTTGTGGAGAATGCCAACGCGGCTAAGTCCTGTGAGGCTGTGCCCATGGAGCCCAAGGATACCTACATACCTGCAGCTCCTGTGGAGGAAACCTCCAGTCAGTTGCTTAAGGCTGGGCCTTTGAAGACCCAAGATGTGCTTGAAGCTCACGCGGAAGAAAATGAAAAGGAAAAGCTGCTCAAGGCACGAACTTTGATTCTTGGTGAGTCGCCGTCAGGCAAAGGCTTTGGGCTTTCTGGGGGACCACCGGCGGGGGATGCCGGGCCTGCCTCTGGTGAAGTTGCCCAGCATGCTGGGCAGAAAGAGGAGACCGTGGATGGCTTCGGTGGGGAAGAACAGTTTGAGCCGCCTCGAGTGTCTGATAGTGAACAGGCGCAGGGAGGGGAGAAAGAGTCAAAGAATCTTGAGAAAGGTAAGATCGAAAAGGGTGAGCACAAGGATCCGGAGAAACCCGAGGAAACAGTGGTCATTGAAGAGAAGGTGAAAAATAAAGAGTTGGAGCACAAGGGCCCAGAGAAGCCTGAGGAAACAGTGCCCTCTGGCTCGGCAGCTTCGAAGAGGAGCGAAGAGTTGAAGAATGAAGACGGCTCTGATTCTAGCGGCGGCGGTCCTGCATTGCCAACAGTCACAAGACTGGACCAGCAAGCATTCAAGAAAATGAAGACCAATGTGCAGAAGATGAACAAAGAAGAGCCAGCAGAGTCAAAACGTGGACGGGGTCGTGGCCGTGGCCGTGGCCGCGGACGTCGCCAAAAGGGAAGATGAAGATGAGCCTCTGCCAGCACAGAAGAAAGCCAGGACCGATGATGATGATGATGATGAGGCCCGCAGAGACTTGACAACAACGTTTGATTTGATCCCCGCTCTGAATGACACGAAAGCACCGAAGCCCCATGTGGGCCAGCATGATATCAGTCCTGAGGCGGTCAAACAGAGAGCTAAAAGAATCTTTACACCCAGAGCTGATGGCTCGCTCAAAGTGAGCCAGCAAATTTTTGATGAGTGGAAAGGGAAGGGGCCTCGTCGACGCAACCTTGAGATGATCTTTAAACAGTGTGGTTACGATCCTGAACCTAGCTTGTCGTTTAAAAACTTTTTGGGGGGGGCAGTTGTATTGAAGGTAGCCCTGACCCATACTATCAGCTTCACCAATAGGTTTGCGGTACTGCCGAGGAGACCTTTGTCTCGGAGGTTGAAGTCTTAAGGTCGGAGATGGAATCCACAGAGCTCACTGTGGAAGGAGAATTTGCCACGGAAGCAGACATGATCGAGTGGGGATTTAGCGAGCGCTTCGACTCTAATTTTATAACATGGGAATTGACAAAGCTAAGCAAAGAACATGGCTTGTATCAGAATTTGTTTAGGTGTTTTGACTGAATGGTGAATCGCTACTTTGCTGCTCCCAGGCAGCGCATAGAGGCCATCAAGAAGCACTGCCGCACCCAGCCCAGTAAGTTGATGAGGCTCTGGCGCGTTCACCAAATCTTTTCTTTCCAACCTGGCAAAGGCAACTTACTAACTGGTCGCAGCGCAACCATTCAACAATGCTTTTAAGAACCTTAACAAATTCACAGCTGGGCCCCGCAGGAAAGACATCTATCAGAACATCACGCTCTACTACGTTGAGCGCAGCTACAAAGCTTCGATGAAGCCCCTTGTTGGAACGCAGAGGTATGTTCAAGCTGTTGCAGTGAAGAGTTCAGCATTCAGTTCTAGGCAAACTCCTACACTTGCTTTGGTGCTTTGGTTCTTCAGCAACATCCCCATTCGTCCCCAGTCAGTCAGGAAGAGATCTTCGATCGAGATCAACCATCGTGCGCGCATGGATGTGCAGGGCGGCCTCCAGGACCTTGAACTGAAACCAGGGTGTGTTCTTGGTGAAGGGGTTGAAGAAGGCCAGGTCACTGTAGTTACTGTAGGCAGTGTTGTCGTGGCTCCCTACATGACAAGTTCCCATTTCTCATGTATGTCTTGGAGGTGAAGAGGAAATCACGAAGTCCGACGATGAGAACCAGGAAAATGGCGCCAAACTTCGCAAGAAGCTTGGAATCCCTGAGATGGATCCTGACGCCTTGCCAAGCAGTTGCCTACCAAAATATTTGCCACTCAACTCAATTGACTGTTCAAGGCTTCAAAGGTTCCGGATTGCCACCTGCTCACCGTTTTGGATTACTGTAGTTGCTCCGTGTCCGAAAGTTTTGGATGAGCGTCTAGGTTGCCATCTGTCTCCCATCCCATCCTGCCTCGTGAGGACATGCATGGCCAAGCGAATCTCGTCTTTGGCAGCCCTGACTGCAAAGTTCAACAAGCCAAAACTCTCCGATATTCAGACTCGGCTTCTTGACGTGCTCATCATGTAACTGGGTAAGGGAATGAATTTTCACGAATGAAGGATAGCCCGGAAAGGTGCTAACAACCCATCAAAGCAGAGGTGTCATTGTTGGAATGGTCCCAAACAACTTCGCTTCGGAATCCATAGCCGAGCTGCGCTGCGAGGTTGCGGGAGGCTCTGCTGAGTGAGTCCTCAGCTTTGGAGGAGATCCACAAGTCCCTGTCGAATGCCTACTCACAGGGTGTTGTCTCAGGACACACCAAAGAGTCATACCCTCAGCCATCGAAAGCAATGCTCAAAAAAAGAGAATGGAATGCTAGTTAGTTTGGCCATTCGCGCCTGCAGGGGTGAACAACAGCTGAAGCATCAAATCAACCAAGCCAGTGCCAAGCGTGGAACTAAGAGTTTGTTTTCGCTCAACTTTGTATTTGAAGAATGGGGAATTTGGAAAAGCATTCTCACTTGGTTCGTGTCCATCTTTCATGGGGGAAATTGGAACAAACCCGTGCTATTGATCCAAGGGCTGCTGCATCTTTGGCTTTGGAAGCTCGGGCCAGGTCCCACTCTAAGTTTAAACCGCTTTGCAGGTTTTGGCTAACGTCCGAACCGACCTTGTTAGTTGCTTAGTTGATGACCCCAGGCCTTTCATTCCAAAAGAGTCAAAGGATGAGAAGGGTGCGAAGGGTCGCGCGGCCGCAAAGGCGGCTGTGAAAGGTAAGGCTAAGGCAAAGGCCAAGGCCAAAGCAAAGGCAGGAGATGATGCGCCTGTCAAGCGACCGCGCACTGCCAAGTGAAGCGCTGCTGTGATCGCTATAGATCAGAGCTTTTCGCACTTTAGGCAATTTCAGTAGTGCGTGTCTCTGACTTAGGGGTTTTGTTGACCTTTACCTTTACCTTTCCCTTTCCTTTTATGCTCTTGATACTTGTAGTTATAATTCAGTCTTGACTTGGTGGGCGAAGGTCAACCGACGGTAGTCATCAATTACTGTGTGATTCTGCGTGTGAACATGCAGAGTTCTTGAACTCTTCAGCTTGGGGCGAGAACAAATTTGGTATTCGTCCATCTCGTTTCGATTGCTGACTTGGCTGATCACATCGGGCTAATGACCATGGCCCGAAAAGAGTCTGAAGACCTGTGTTGCTCATTAATTTGCCAGGTTCTCACAAAGCTCCTGAGCCTGGGGATCTGACCAACAACTATGCAGAGCTTCTGTCTGAAGGGGTGGGGTGCTCAATTGAAGATTCTCAAGTCCATCGCATTGTCCGCCCTCCTCTCACCAGGTCCCAGCGGCGAAGCTTCGACGCGTTGCAGACAAAGCCCGAGCAGAGGTTGGAGAGAGGCAGTTGGCCTCAAAGGCATCCAGCGGTGCCAATGCTTGCCGAGAGGCTCACGCCTTTATTGGAAGATGGAACTTAGCTTGGAAGATTCCCTACAGCTACCTGCCACTCCAAAAAAAAGATGGCTCACAGATTGAAGTTCCCTACATATCACCGAAGGATTACTTGAAATTTCTTCTTGGCAAAGCTCCACACCTTCTTTATGGGGGCCTTGATGATTTGGAACTGGGTGCCAAGCATTGGGAATGCTTTTGGAATCACTACCGGGAGATTCACCCAACACATGTTTTGTTCGAGGCTTCCGGGAATACGGAGAGAAGGCTCAGCAACACAATAGGTCTTGCCTTCTACGGGGACGAGGGCCGCGGCCTGAAACGTGGAAACACATGCATCATCACCATGGAGACCGTCTTGGGCCTCATGGATCCTTCAAATCCCCGAGACTCCAGATGCTGTGAGAGCTGTTGCGTGTCCAAGTCAACAGCGAAAAGGTATGACTTGAGGGAAGGGTTCATGGCTTCCCCCAACGATCTTGGTGAAATCCCACTGTTCGCGCAGCATGTTTCAAACTACAAACACCACAGTTTTTTGACTAAGTATGCCCTCAGTATCCTACCGCATTCCTACTTCAAGGAAACTGACCTCCTCGAGCGATTGATGGGTAGGCTATGTCAGGACTTCCGGGAGCTTTTCGAGTCTGGTCTGGAAACGGGTCAAGGAAAGGTGTTTGCTGCCCTTACTGGGATGAAAGGTGACCTCAAATGGTACCAGTCCATTGCAAACTTGTCACGCTGCTTTGCCAAGCAGTTGAAACCGGATGAGCCGTGCTGCCACCAGTGCATGGCTGGAACGGCAGACATGCCATTTGAACAAACAACCCACAATCCAGATTGGGCCCAAACCATGTTCTTCCAACGACCATGGGCACAAGACAACGAACCACAAGCCATTACGAATCTCCCATTTGATGCAGCAGCGCCAGAAAGAATCTTGCGTCGCGATGTATTTCATAATGCTAAGCAAGGCACATTCCGTGACTACATAGCAAGCACAGTGCTTCTACTTTGCTTGCTTGGATACTTTCACGACAGTGATGGGAGCAACAGCCGAGATGCTCTGCTGGGCCGGGCGCACGCCCACTTCAGTTTGTGGTGTTGCAGCACGGGCAAGACGCCCGCCCTACGCAGTTTCAACTCTCTCTTCTTTAGCATTACTTCATGGAGTGACTATCCATGGATCAATTGCAAGGGCAGCGACACGAGCCTATGTGTGTCCTGGCTCCGTTGTCTCACACGCTGCCTCCTTTTTGACCTGAAGGATCCGGAGCACAAGCAAACGCTTGAGTCGATGCACCGGGCAGCTGTTCAGGGAGAGCGCTTTTTCAAGATCGTGTACACTCACGGTATCTGGCTCAGCCGGCACTGTGCTGCTGCAACATACGAGGCTTTGCATTTGTTTTTGAAAGAGTACAACACGCTGTCTTTCCTGTCGCTTTATAAGCATGCCTACACGGGGTACGCCAAGAAAACCAAAATGCATATGTTGGCCCACGAGAAGTATGACCTTCACATGCTCTTGGTTGGCAAAAGACCTGTTGCATTGAATCCGGTGATTTTCGCAACGGAGCAAAACGAGGACACAGTGGGGCGACTGTCCCGCTTGTCGCGCCGGGTCAGTCAGCATTGGCCAGCGAAAAGGACTCTGGATCTTTACTTGATACAGTGTAAGACCGTGCACAGGAGGTACTTGGCAGTGCGAAAGACGAAGGGAAAGTTGAAGCGAAAGAGTTAAAACAACGGGTTTGGGAGGTGGTGGGTTTGGGAATGCTGAGGTCCCGGACTATCCAATCCAACCCATGGCCAGGATGAAGGGCACCATGGTCGTCTAGCTATGTTCAGTTTAGACATGTTGGACATTGTTGAATCTTTGGCTTTGGTGTGGAGCATGAAGTCTACACTTCACAACCAATTGTGTAGGAAGTGTTAGCATGAATGCCTACTCATTTCAAAAGACTGAAGCCACAAGTGTGACGTCAACAGTCAACGACGTTTTTTTTCAGCAACGACACTTCTTGCAGCCAACGATGGAAATTTCCGTTGTTTCAGCCAACGATGAAAATTATGCATACCTAGAGGTTGCAGGTATATATATATATAAGAAATATACACTATAGCCTATACTAGGACCCACAAGGGGTGGTTAATGGACACCCCTTAACCTCTAAGGGGCTATCAATAGTCACCCCTTAGGGTGTCCTGGTAGATAATTATGTGTAACTCAGGGAGTTCGTCACCGAGACAGGTACGTGGGGAGAAATTTTGGAAGTTTGGGAGAGTTCGTGATCATTCTTGTTTAGCCCAACATGTAAAGGTTTCATAGCAACATAGGGAGACCAACATGTCCACCAACGCTAAAGCGTTGCACCACCCGAAATCGGCTTCCTTCGAAGGTTCGAAGGACTAGCAGGGTACCTCCAGATGATCTCACCCAGGGTATCCAGGACTGCATATCCTCCAATTCAGGATTCAATTTGGACTCCTGTGCAGAGGAGGACAACTGGTAGAACCCAAAGTGCAGAGAACATGTTTGCATTCGGTCTCTGTTCTTGTGTTCTTGGTCATACAATCATATTGCATACCGGCAGTAGAGTTACAGCAACATTGGTGTTTCATGCAGGTTTCAGGCAAAGGAAGAAGCCAAGAAGGTGATTATGATTGCCAGCATTTGTACTCGTTCAACCGTCTGACTACGGTAGTATGGGGTGACCGGTCAACACCAAAAGAAGAACAACAGATGACTCGGGGGGGTGACCGATTCGAATCGGAGAGGTACTCGTCCTGAACCTCCCACACCTGCGTCCTGGATAATGGAATCTATAAACCATTATACAGGACGCACACATATCTTAAATATGTGGTAAAAATTGTTGTCTGATACGGTGGATCTGGTTTTGTAATGTAAAGTCCTGAGTAAAACAATGGTTGTTCGGGATGGCTAATTCTTTTAAGGGTGGTTCGACTTCTAGGGTGTATGGTATATAACCATTATAACAACCACCAAGGATTCGTTCATCCCAATGTTCGCCCATCCTCCCATCAGGCGGCTGGAAGATCGGGCCTTGCGTGGCGAGGTGTGGAAAATCTCCACCTCGGGGGCGGTCGCACCGCGATGTCCGCGCCGCGGTGTCAGCAAGTCGCACACACGTCTACCTCCTCAGTGCAGTTGGTTGTTCTCTTCGACTGTGACTGTGAGGTTGGGGGTTGGAACCGTTAGAACCCCCCTTGAAGAGGTCTTCTGAGTGAGAGATGTTG